TTGTGAGCATCAAGGTGCTGGATAACAAAGGAGTGCATGCGCGCTTGATTTTCTCGAAGGATCACGAATTATCGAGTAACCCCGCGATCGTCCGAGTGTTTCTAGATGCCCTCGTTTTTAATATATAAGCCTGGCGAGAAAAACCACAGAGACATAAAGATCGAAGAGATAGATATCTGAGTCAAGCGAACAGTAGGCACCGTAAGTAAAGTGTGTGAATCACTATGATTTAAAGCGTGTGTTATAAATATTGTTAAGTTTAAAGTGACTATGGAAATTCTGTGTATTGTTACGTCTCTGTGTGTTTGTTTGTTAATTTCCCGTATAATTTCTTTCGGATGAAACTTTAGCGATACAAGTTTTTTCTTAAATAAAACTAGTTTATTCTTTCTCAATACAACTTGCAATACACTTAATTTCCACAGTCACTTTAACTTAAACACACGCTATAATTCACAACGATTCACGCACATTACTTACGCTCACTTGCCTCGATTATCTGTCTCTATCTCTGCCTGTCTGCAATTCCAATTCCGATTAATAGTCTCGCTTTATCTGGCGCATTTATATACAAGAATAGAGGGCGCGTAGAAAAGACTAGAGTTGCCACGAATAGACATGATCCTTCTAGAATCTCATCACGTGTTACTAGAGTCACGTGACGTCCGCTGTCGTAACAGTATTATTAAAAGTTGTATCGAGAAAAAGTAAACTGGTTTAATCAAGAAAGGAATTGTATCGTGGAAGTTCCTCGGAAATAATTTCAACCGGAAATTAACAAACAAGCAGATACTCAACAAGTGCAATGAATTTCGGGGGGGGGGGGAGAAAAAAGAGAGACCCAAAAGTAGAGCTCATTCAAATAGTTGATTCTTCTTTATTTTCCGGAAGAGGGTTAGTCAACTATTCGAAAGCATTCGAGTTTTGGTTCTTTTTATTTTATTTCTTTTCCTTTTATCTTTTCTATTTGTCTTTGATTATTCTACATTCAGATGCATCCATCTGACGAGTCCCAGGTGGGACAGCGGTGAGTCTACACACTTTCAACACTAAACTTAGGAATGCGATTTCCCTCAATGGACACAGCAGATAGCTCGATGTGGCTTTTCTATTGGAAAATAACACAAACACACAGCACACCACCTCACGCTGCTAAGTAAAACTACCGAAATGTAGTATTTAAGAAAAAAAATAAGAATTTTAAAATATAATTACTTGTTTTATCCCCAGATAAAACTTTAATTTTTATGTAATATCTGGATTTTTTATATTTTTTTTGTAAATTATTGCAATTACTTGCTTCGGAAGCGACGTCTACAATTCGATGGCAAAAAGTATAACCTATCCCAACTACCAATTTTTAGGTGCTTGATAAGAATAGGCCTCGGTCAAGTTAGGAAGGTGAAAATGGCTGCGCGAAGAATATCTAAGTCTGCAATCGACTGGATGGCTTTTTCGGAACGAATTCCGGAAGCTCAAAGAACGATATATCAAGCCTTTAAGTCTAAATCAGATGGATATGTAAGGAAGTAAGATGCTTAATCTCATATTCTGTTTTTCACTATTTGCTATAGACTAATACACTAATGAGTAAAAACTAGTCTTATTAATATTACAGTATTACTATTAATAATATTACTAATACTATTACTATTATCTGGAATGAGTAAATCTAAGAAGCCAAACCAATAATTTTGCCTAGTTAGGATAGCGGTAGCAACTTAAGAAATTTAAATAATACATCAGTCAGTTACAATAATTGTCTTTATGTATAGAAACAAATTTCGAAATAAGTTAAAAAGTTAATATAAATAATGAACTGCAGCCTATTAATATTCTACTACAAGCGAACCCGTGGGCATGTGGCTTACATTTACAGGGCCATTATAATGCAAATTTAATGCTTGAATTACTATTTTGCACTTTTTCAGTTTAATGACCATTTCTGCTATAGCGTTTATAGTACTATAAGTATAATGCAAACTTACTAACTACCATTCATAACTTGGTTAAAGAAATTATGCCTTCTTATTTACATGCTCTAATGTAAATCAGTGCCAAATTTAAGGTCTGCTTTCAGGGAACCTGAATAAAATTTTTTATTTGCAAAATACTTGGGTTCTCTAAGGCATTGGGTGAAAAGTTTTACATATGTGCAAACCTTGGTACTGAGACAATTCATTTGGCATGACTTAAATGTTGATGAGTTTAGCAGTTTAGGAGAAGGTTTTTTGGGGAAATCCCTGGGTTCTCCAAAGGGTGAGGTGGAAGATTTTACCTTCTTGCAAACTTTAGGACCGAGATGATTCGTTCAGTATGATTTAGTATTGAGTGTGACTGGCAGTTTAGGAGGAGTTATGTGACACATAGACACTGAATCTTATTATATTATTTATAATTGGTATTAAAGGCAGAAAAATTATTAGTTAAGAGGGTGAATTTTTATCAGTTATAATTGGGGGTTTCAAGGGTAAAAAGTTTTTAATTGGCAGTTGTTTTTTTTAGTATTTATCAAGCCTTCCTTTAAACTATCTTATATTAACTTCATCTATTACATTTGAAGGCAAACTATTCCAAAGGCCAATCACTCTGTTACTAACAGTGTTAAAAAAATAAAGATGTCTTAGCTTAAGATGACTGTTGGAGGAAAAAGAAAAGAAACAAGAAGAGAGACAACAGCAGTTACAAGAAAACCTGCAACAGTGGCAGCTCGATCGAGAAAATGAACAAGAAGAGAGATTACAGCAGTGGTTGGAGGAAAAAGAAAAGAAACAAGAAGAGAGACAACAGCAGTTGCAAGAAAACCTGCAACAGTGGCAGCTTCGAACAGCAAAATAAACAAGAGAGACTACAGCAGTGGTTGGAGAATAAAGAAAATAAACAAGAAGAGAGATTATAGCAGTGGCAACTGGAATAAGAAAAGAAACTGGAAAAAAGTCTCCAACAGTTGCAGGAAAGTCAGCAGCAACTACAGGAAAGTCAACGACAGTGGTAAGAAGTACAAATAGAAAACATTAGCAAATTTCAAAGTGAATTAAATACATTAAAGGGTGATTTACTGTCTTTTACACAAGGAGGATATATTAGACATCGACTTAATCAGCCCCAGACAATGGCAAGACCCTTCCAGACCCCGCAGCTAAACCCTAATGCAGACATCTTCAGTCTTGTTAGAAGTCACATCCCAGATATGAATGTCAGCAATAGGGGTGATCTAGTACAAAGGAAGCCACAGGAATTTGATAGGAAGGCACTGTGGGAAGCATATAGAGCACAATTTGAGCTCCTGGCAGAGATGAATGGATGGACAGAGGAGCAGAAAACAGTGTAACTGGCAATGAGCCTGAAGGGACAACCACTGAAAATACTTGGACAGTTGTCAGCAGATGACAGGCACAATTATAGAGCACTGGTAACGGCTCTAGAACTCAGGTACAGAACCCAAAATTAGTCTGAAGTCTACAGGGCTAGATTTATGACGACGGTCCATGCTATAGGGGAGAGCCTGCAAGAGTTGGCACAGGATTTGGAAAGTATGGCACACAAGGCCTACCCCCCTGCACCACCCAATGTCTTCAAGCTGTTGATGAGGGATCAGTTTGTAGACGCCTTGGACAGTCCACAACTGAAGATACAAGTAAAGCAAGCACACCCCTCTACTATGCAGGATTCAATGGCCAGAGGTCTTGAATTCGAATCCTATGTTAAGTACAGCACAGATGTACCAAGGTTGGTACAGTCATCAGGATTCAAGGCCAAAAAAGATCAGCTTTCAGAGAGGTTTGAGGGACTTTGCTGGCACTGTAACAAACCTGGGCACAAGAGAGCTCAATGTCGGCAACTTAAACACATCGAAGATGCCACAGCAGGAAAGGCTGCTACCCAGAAAGGTTGTTGGAACTGTGGAGAGCAAAGACGTATGAGGAGCCAGTGCAAGAAGAATACTACCAATAAGTCAACTTTGGGAAACCAGTAGTGGTTGGTGATGAGGGTCGCCCACCAACTCCCATCGTGAAAGT